GCTTGAGGACCTTCTGGGAAATGGAAATAACCATCTGAAGGGAATGACCTCTGTTCCACAAAATGTTTAATTTAAAAAGTCCTCTCAACAGGCTTTTACTATTAGTTGCTCGTCAAGGTTCAAAACAGATTTTCCTTAGAGCATTTCTTTTCCAAATATATTGAGGTGCTGGAGTGACTACCCTACCTTTACGTATAAACATTTGGACTCACCAGGCTGATGCAGGGTGACCTGTTTGCACAAGCATTTTCAAAATGGAGAAATAATCTTGGGACAACAGGGTATTCTGAAAATGGTAGGCAAAGGGTAGATGGAAGAAAGGACCTCTAATTCAACAGGTTCTGGGGAGCAGAAGAGATAAAAATCTTTGAAGGGAGAGGAGCTAATTGGCTTCTTCTTTTTTCTTTCTTTTTTTTTTTGAGGGGGGAGGCAATTAAGCTTATTTATTTATTCAGTTTTAACTGAGGTACTAGGGATACCAGGACCTCATGCATGCTAAGCATGTACTCTACCACTGAGCTGTATATACCCTGCCCCTCTCTGGTTTCTGGTCCTGGATGCAGGCTGGAAAGAGAGTATCAATCTCTTGGGATGGTTTGGGCTTGACAAAGGCACATAATCATGGTATCTCAGTCGGATTTCACTCCTCATTAGGATAAAACTTTATTCTATGTACTAGTGATGTTTCATTTCTATTAAATTCAAATCAGCAAATATTTTTGATCACCTTCTGCATGTGAGACAGTGTAGAAAATATAAAAAAAGTCATTTATACCCTCCATATCATGATTGCTCAGATTTACTGAGAACTTACCATGTGCTAAAGCTGTTTTATATACGTATATGTAGCAATTTTACAACTGTTAACTAGTTTAATCTTTTTTGAGATGAACTCTTTTATTACTCCCATTTTACAGAGAAGGAAACTAAGGCAGATAGAGGCTAAGTAACTTAGGTCTTGTGGCTGACAACAAATGTAGGCAGTCTGCCACTACCACTGTGCCTCACAGTCATAACCAAGTCATTTTTGTTCCTGAAAACTGAGCTGAGCATGTGCTGTTGGGTTCGCTCACTAAGAAGGGAGGTCTGAGACATATGGGGAACAATTAGGCGTCCTGGAGCTCGGACTCACCTTGAAATGACAAAGCCAAGTTGGCTCACGGAAACTCCTTCCATTTGCTTCAGCACGTTACTGACGCAAGTTAGATTGTGGTAGGGCTGGCAAGTCTTGCTAACCCAACAAATGTGCTGTCAACCCCAGGACATCACAAGTCAAATGGGGCTGGGATGCTCTCCTGAATCCCCACAGAGACTAGCAGCCTCAAAAACAGCCTAGTTAGAATGATTGATTGATCTAGTCACATAAACGAAAATACCCACTTGGACCCCAACTGACTGCTGTTGGTTTCTGAGCCCCTAAGTAATTTCAATGAATAGTAAAATGACTAGTAAAATGAGCAAGCTGAAGCTTTGCTCATACTGTGCTAAAACAATTTGGGTTCACAAGTAAGTAAACCTCTTTCCAATTTATTAAAGCTTCTAAAAACATTCACTATATCAGTTCACTGCAGCCAATAATCTGGGAGTTTGATATTTAGAGGGACATTAAATCTTTCAGTTCATTAGGAGGCAATTTAACAGGAAGTCCTCCAACTGCTGGGCAGTGTCCATAGGTACAAACATGGAAAACATTCTGCATGTAGTCAGAGCTCAATAAATATTAAATGAATAAATGGTCAGTGATTGCAGTGCCTGATGAGTCCACTAACATCTGTTTAATTCATTATTGAAGATTTTGCATTTGCAATGAAAATAACAGAAAATGATACTATTATAATTCTGAGAGGGGAGCAAATTTTTTTTAAAAAATGCAGTTGAATAAAGAATTTTGTGTCTTTAATTGTGGAACTAAGGAAAGCAGATTTATGAGCAGAAATAACAGAAGGTAGAGGAAAACTGGCGGAGAGAACCATGGGCTGTGGACTTCTGTTGGATATTTCAGAAGTATTTGGCATTGAGGTTTTGAAAATATATTATATTATGCAATATTTCAAATATAGAAAGTTGTAAACAGTAGTACAATGAACTTCCACATACTCACCATCTAGTTTCATCAAATAACATTTTGATGACATTATTTTTGTTATGTATTTTTATTATACTACATTTTAAAAATACATGGCTTAAAAAGTATCTTAATTGAGAGCTGGTTAAATAATTCAAAACATATCCATGTAGTGGACTATGATGCAGTTATTTCAAAATCATGCATTAAGAGAATTTTCATTTAGATTGGAAATTCTCTATTAGGATACAAAATCACATATATAATAGGATTCAAATTTCATTAAAATATAAATCTATGCAGGTATCTGCAAATAAAAAGACAAATGAAATGTATTATAACAGTGGTTATTCATCTTTGGGTGGCAGAATTATGGGGTGGTTGTCCTATTTATGTATTCATTCATTTAATTGAAGTATAGTTGACTCACAGCACTGGGTTAATTTCAGGCACACAGCATAGTGAGTCAATTTGTTTTTTGCTGATTATATTCCATTATAGGTTATTACAAGATACTGGGTAAAATTCCCTGGGCTATGCAGTACGTCCTTGTTGGTTATCTCTGTTTGTATTGTTGTTATCTTCCATATGCTTTTCTGAATTTTTCGCAATTTCTTCAAAATTACTTTATAATTTTGAAAAATGATGATAATTCTTTTCCAAAGCAAAAATAAATACTTTCTTTTTGTGTGTCATTAACCTGATTCTTTCACACAGTGGCTGTGATGAGGGTAGTATTTTGGCTTCCAAATGAAAGTTTAAAAGGGGAGTAAGGGTGCTAGAAAGACGAGAGATTTCACTGGGTTAACTCAGGGCTGTCCAGGAAAGCATTTCTACTTGTCCGCTTTCTAGTAGGATGACCCCCTCGTTTTGGGTAGCTATTTCCACATTTCTCCTTACATCTTGCATGTCACCAGACATCTCTCCTGCCCAGGGACACCCAGCGCAGTACTCAGCCCTACTCCGCTGTTGGCTGAGCGAGCACCACATACTTACTGCGTAGACTGGGTAGAGTTCCTGTGCGTTCAGGTCCCACTCGTTGATATGGGAACCGATCTGAACCCCGGGAAAGCCCAGTTCCTTCACACAGCGCTCCATCTCCTTGACTGCCAACTCAGGGGCCTGCATGGGCAATGTCCCCAGACCCACAAACCTCCTGGGGTGGCTTGCAGTGGTGGCAGCTAGGTCATTGTTTAGAAGCTGGCACAGGTCTAAAGTGTCCTGAGGTTTGGCCTAGTGGAGACAGGTAAGGGAAACCACATCGTTCAAAACCTACTTCTGTAGATATTTACTCTGATCAGCACCTCCTCTGGGCTCAATCATTTGTTACTGTCAGTGGCTTTACCTCTTAGAAGGCTGAGACACAGCTGAGATAGGCACTTGGCCACAGGAGACCCAGAGTCAATCATTGCCAAGGCAAAGAAAACTGCTAGCATATTGCTGATTAATTAGAAAACCTGAGGCTGTGATCAGAAGGGCTTGGCATCCTACACTAAATATGGGATGAAGACGGGCCACCTCTCTTAACTGCAGACAGGAGCCTGCAGGGCTGCACACCTAGGCACCCAAGCTCCCCCAACAAAGGAGCTGGGCCTGGCGAGTGCCGGACATCAGGGCACCTCCTTGTCATGCCTCCTCATGGAATGCTGGGCTGCTCATGGACATCTCCTATTCCTGTCTGTCCTCCTCCCTGTCCTTCCTATTAACAGTGACAGAGTTACCTTAGCAAAATGCTGATGTGAATAAAGTTTGCTTTCTGTTCCCCCAACTCTCCCCTCTTCATTGCTGTCTTTCCTTTCAATAGCACCCTTCCCTGCTGCTAGGAGTTTGGCACTCTCCTGCAATCCCAGTTGTCCAGTCAGAATAGTACCCAGTCTGGTAAATTCAGGTATCTTGAGGTCTTAGAGTATTTTTATTTTAAATAGTGAATTTCATCATAGAAACAGATAAGGACTGAATTACTAATACTGGAATTACGAGCACAGATGGGGGAAGTATTTGTGAGCAGGTAGGTATTTCCATTGCTCCTTAAATCACAACATGTGAATATTTATTTAGTGGAGCAGATGCTTAGCACCCTCCCAACTATGTCCAAAAATGTCCTTCCACAGACTTGCAGTCATGCCTGAAACTTTTAGCACGCGAGACTTAATCATTTGGGGAAAGGCATCTAACTCCAGGAATCCTGTTTTGAATTGTATATTTCCATGGAGAGATAACATATCAGGCCATTATCATCACTTCCACCACCTCAAAATCTTCATCACTTTAGAATAAACTAGTTTGTCAGTTACTGAGCCAGGCACTGCAGGAATGAGTCAGCAGACAGGTATGTTCTGATGGAGATTAAGGTTGAGTCTGGAACTGTCCAATGGAAATACAGTGCGAGTTCCATAGCAACATGCAACTACTGGCTACCATACTAGAGCATGCAGGTCTAGAGCAAGGATGGGAGGAGGAAGACAGGCCTGGGAGGGAACGGTGCAATGTGAGAAGCTGAGGACCCTGCTAATCTCTAAAGGGGAGGAGAGTTGGGGGAGCAACATCAAGACTTGGTCATCTGTCTACTTGCTAGGGAGCTGGACGTGAGCCTTCACCCACCAAGGAGATGGATTGAGGTGTCACACTCACCCAGTAGCTAAACATGACAGGAACCGTGGACAGGGCTTGCACGGTCACTCCTAGACACAGACACAAAGGCAAAGCTAATGAGAAGAAGGGCCTAGGTGCTCCTTCTGCATTTCCCAGGACCGAGGAGCCCAGCAAGTCTCCATCCTGCCTTCCTCCTGCTCTCCCTGTCCCCCTTCTCTGAGGGTCTCTGTCCTGGGCCTCCTCATCCCTCAGCCTCAGTTCTAAGGGGAGGAGTAATGGCTTGACAGAAATGTGCTCACTCGAGAAAGACTAAAAATTCATTTTTCAAAGGTTGTTTCAACCCTTCTTCCTGTGAAGTTTTGCTTAAACAAGACATTTCCCCATCCATTTTTTAAGGGCTTTTCATCTTAGATCATATGTGACTGAGTGTATTTCTCAGTTACTTTCCTGGCCCCTTTAATTCATCTCCTAAGTGAGCCTGGGTGGAGTCCCACTGTCTGGTATGCCCAGAACAAGACCCTGGGTGTGGCTCCAGAATCCAGTATCCAGGATGCCTAGAATCTCTTATCTTCACACTCCTGGAGTTAGGGTATCAGGAGAGATGCTGCCAATCCAACCCACCAGCAAGTCCTGTTAGCTCTACTCCACTTCCTTTCACCCACTCACCTCTCCCATCCCCTGCCACTACCTGGTCCGAGCCACCAGCATTTCCTACATGGACCATGGCAGAAGGCTCTGAGCTGGTCTCCTGCCACCACTCTTGTCCTCTTAAAGTTTGTTCCCCACTTGGAAACCAGAGTAAGTGTCAAAACTTGGATTGAGTCTCTTCCTTGCTCAAAACTTCAAAGGACTTTTCATCACACCTACAGTAGAACTGAAACATGAACTTTGCCTCTAAGGCCCCCCACAGTCTCTCCCAGGGCTCTCATTGTGCTTCATTGGCCTCCTGCCAGTTCTTTGCATGGCTGTTCCACCTGCCTGGAATGTTATTTTGGCTCATCACAGGATGGGCTCCTTTTCGCCCTATGGTCACAGTTCAAATGTCACCTCCTCAGAGAGGCCTTCCCTGACTCTGTCCCCTCTCTATCCCATTGTTCTGTTCCTTTCCTTTTCTGATACTTAGTACAGTCTGGTGTACTGTGTTTTGTTGTTTCTACTGTGCCTTCCCCTGCTTGAACGTACACACCACATGAGCCTATCTGTCCATGTCCTACCCCTAGTGTCAAGAGCAGCGCCTGGCATGTTGAACATACCCAGTAAATGAAAGAATAAATCAGTGTTTAGTGTAAACTAGAGACTACAGCTTTTGATTAGAGCATTGTTAAACATCATCACAGGGTATTATTTATGTTCATTGATCAGTATAAAAGAGATTAAGTCCCTTTCAATTGTAGAATCTTTACATCTTACACAAATGCTTTTGCTTACATTACTTAATTTGGTTTCTCCGTTTTATAGGTTACCTTTGAGGCTGCATGGCTTGCAAGGGGTGGGATGAGTCTCCTGTCCAGCCTTGCTCCTTCTCTACACTCCGGGGTCATTTGTCACCATATTTCTTATTAACATAGCAAATTGCATTATTTGTGTGTTGGTTGATTAAGCTACATGTTCTTTGGTCTCTGGGAGTTTGAAAGGGGAGGAAACAAGTCTAATCCAATTAGAGCTTTTTTTTTTTTTTTTTTAGTATCTATTCAACAGTGTAGCATGAGGTTCCTTGAACTTACCTGTTAAGTAAACTGGGCGGGGGTTGGGGCAGAGGAAAGTGAACATTGTAAAAACTAATTCCTAGGTCCTCCTTTGGAAACTCTGATTCGGTGGATGGGGCCTGAAAAAAATTTTTTATAAGCATCCCAGGCAATTCTTATCCTGAGGGAGGCTTGGGAACAAAGCTCCTTCAGGGAAAGTGATGGAATGAGAGAGACAGCTCTAGGATGATCCTAGCTCTACCATTTACTGCTCTGTGGTCCTGAGCAAGTCATTTCACCTCCTTGCACCTCTCAGGTGACAATAGGTACAACTCAGGTGCCTGCCACATAGAGAGGTGATAAAGTAACCCGGGGCTGCCAGTTACATTTTTCTTCCTGTAAAGACAGCATGGTATGGCTTGCTGGAATCTTCTGTATTGTGCCTTCATCATTTTATTTTCTTACCTCCGCAGCAGCAATCAGATGCACTTGTTAAGTAAGTCCTAGGGACCAGACTGCCTGGGTTCAAATCCCAGCTTTGCCCCCTACAAGTTCCGTGATCTTGGGCAAATTGCTTAACCTCTGTTCCTCAGTTTATTCATCTGTAAAATGGGCCTGATAATAGATGCCACCTCCTATGGTTGTCATAGGAATTGAGTTAATATGTGTCAGGTGCTGAGAACAGTGCCTGGCACAAAGTAAATGCTCAAGCAAGGGTTAGACATGACTGCTTTCTCATGGGTAGCCATGGAATGAAATGCACAACTAAAACTAGAGGGGATACTCTTGATCTAAACTGCAGTTGTGAGCAATGTTTCTGACACCAGTCATCCAAGCCTCGTTTCTACTAGTTTTCTCTTTGAGATGTGGGACCTGCTCGTGCTTCACTTTTACTTCATTTACAGTAAAACCTTGGTCTTTGTTATAGTTCTTGGAAGTTTTTTCTCTCTCTAATGCCCCTCCCTCCCCCATTCTAGAACAGGGATGTGTATGATCTACAGAGGGGCTTCAGGCTTTTCACAAAGTTCAGTCTGAATGCAATTTAGATATACTTTTTTAAAAATGGAAGTATAGTCAGTTACAGTGTGTCAATTTCTGGTGTACAGCACAATGTCTCAATCATGCATATATATGCATATATTCATTTTCATATTCTTTTTCATTAAAGATTATTATAAGGTACTGAATATAGTTCCCTGTGCTATACAGAAGAAATTTGTTTTTTAAATCTGTTTTTATATATAGTGGCTAACATTTGCAAATCTCAAACTCCCAAATTTATCCCTTCCCACCCCCTTCCCCTCTAGTAACTATTAAGATTGTTTGCTATGTCTGTGGGTCTGTTTCTGTTTTGTAGTTCCTTAGTGTCCCCTTTCTTTCTTTCTTTCTTTCTTTCTTTCTTTCTTTC